CACTACACCACACACGTACACATGTACACAACACACAACACATACATACACGCATGCACACACAATACATACACCACATACACAATACACACACCACACACATACACAATACACACACCACACACATGCACACACCACACACATGCACACAATACCACACACATATACACATGTACACAACACACACACACGTACACATGCACATACAATACACACACCATACACACATGCACACACAATATACACATACACACATGCACACACAATACACACACCACACATCCACATGCACACACAACACACACACCACATACACACACACATGCACACCACACACACCACACACCACACTCCTCACGCATATACACACCACACACATATCACATACCATAAAGACACGTACACACACACACCATGCAAATACACAAACACACGCAGATCACACAAAGCTTTTTGGGGGAGGGGGCAGGGAGGAGGATTTGGGAAATTTTATCAAATACCATAAAATATGTGTTTCATCCGATTCAGCGAATTTCATTTCTCGGAATTTATCTTGAGGAAATGACTAAGATGTGGAGACAGATTCAGACACTGGAATGATCGTTTCCGTGCCGGATGAGACAGAGAAGCAGAAACGTCCCCAAGCTGGCGCCGCTGACTGCTGCGCTGCCCTTGCCCACCCACGGTAGAACAGAGACGTGCGGCGCACGCCGCGGACACACGCATGTGTGGACACATGCACGTGCACACGTGGGCATGTCTGGATACACGCACAGGCTCTGAAGGCTGCACGCCCGGCGGTGACAGAGACGGAGCCATGGGTGACTCTCACCCTGTCCCGGTCAGCACCTCTCCAGCGCTTTGCACTAAAGCCGTCCTCACGAAGGAAAGGAAGGTGGTATTTAGGGACATCTGCACACGCTAATAATTGGCATCTGTCGCAGGCTTGCCATGTTCTGGGCACGGAGAGTGTCCCTGCACTTAATCCCTGAGCAGCCCAGGAGTTCAGCCCTGCCATCCTCCTCAGTGACACATGGGGAAACTGAGGCTTGGAGCGAGAAGGTGGCCCAGCTGGTTAATGGGCAGAGGCAGGACTCTAGCAGGGCCTCGTCACAAAGCAGGCAGGAGACATCCCCTCCCCCCGTGGCACCTGCCCCTCCAGCCTGCAGGCCTGACTGCGCCGGTGCAGCGCTGGGCTGGCGGGAGAGGAGGCTCACCTGTGGCTGCAGCCTTGCTCCCGGGCGGCTGGGCCGTGGGGATGCCTCAAGCCAGTGGTCCCCAACCTTTCTGGCACCAGGGACGGGTTTCACGGAAGACAATTTTTCCATGGACTAGGGTGGTGGGTGGTTTGGGGATGATTCAAGTGCATTATGTTTACTGTGCAGTCAAACCTCTCTGCTGATGATAATCTGCATTTGCAGCCGCTCCCCAGCGCTGGCATCACCGCCTCAGCTCCACCTCAGATCACCAGGCGTTGGGTTCTCATAAGTAGCAGCAACCTAGATCCCTCCCATGCAGTTTACAGTAGGGTCTGTGCTCCTGTGAGAATCTAATGCCGCCACTGACCTGACCGGAGGCGGAGCTCAGGCGGTGATGCGAGTGATGGGGAGCAGCTGTAAATGCAGAGGAAGCTTCGCCCGCTCACCTGCCGCTCACCTCCTGCTGCGGCCCGGTTCCTAACAGGCCACGGACTGGTCCATGGCCTGGGGGTTGGGGACCACAGCCTTATGCTACCAGGCCTCTGCATGCGGCCCCAGGGACAGTCTCCATGCCACCTGTGACTAGAACAAGCTCTTCCTGAAAGCAGCTCTAGAGGACAGTCCCCCGCCCCATCCTCTCCCTTCTGCCGCTGCTCATGGAGAAGGAAAACACCCGCGTGTCCCTCTGGTGTCTGATGTCAGGACTCCCTTTTCCCTGAGTGTGCAGTGGAGCAGCTGTGGGAACCCGGCCCTCGCTCCCTGCCGGGAGAACGACGACACTTCTCTGCCTCTGCGAGAAGGTGTATGAACAGGACCTTGTACAAACCCACCCTTGGGACACAGGAAAAACCGCCTCCTGGGCCCCAGATGCGCTGTGCTAACACGGCCCCTCTCTGCGGGGGGGTCTCCAGGGTCCAGGACTTGCCTTGTGCACAGAAGGTTTTCCTGTAGCACCTGAGGAGCGGCGCGTGTGTGAGTCACGGAACAGAGACAGGCGGTCCCGGCCCGTGCCCTGCAGACAGCGCTCTCAGCTGGACGCACTTGACTCTGTCTTGACCTTTATTAACGCTGACGGACGCGGCAGATTCATTTTCCGCTAATGGGCTCCAGGACTTTCCTCATTAGAGGGCGAGCAGCTGGCATTTGTACAATCGCAGGAATGTAAATTGGCCCCGAGACCACGGAATTACTGCTCTAATTGGGCTGAATCGATCAGAAAGGCTGTGTGCCCCCCCACGCCGCCGTGCTGCCGGGTCAGGCGGTGGTGTCTGCGCAGGGGTGGGGGAGGCAGAGCGCGGCGACCGGCCCTGAGTCAGACGATTGCCGGTGTGTGGGCCAGGGGACGCCTGCGGTCTCTGCAACCGGCCACCCTCCCGCCAGCCACGGTCCTGCCTCAGGGCCTCTGCACTCACTGTTCCCCCTGCCAGGAGCACTTTTCCCCACGGTTTCCAAACTCCCCTCAGTGCTGTCCGGGGCTGGGGAGACCCTGCCCTGCCCCCACCCCGCGGCAGCCGCAGCCAGGCCAGTCGGCCAGGTCCAGCGTCCACCCCGCAGCCCCCGGCGGCCCTGGCAGCTGGCTCCTCGGGATAGGCTGGTGGCCCCCAGGTCGGAGTTCCAGGTCAGACAGGCCTTTCGAATACGAGCGAGTGTCAGCCTCCCTCCCTGGGCATCGTCTCAGCCTGGGTGACCGAGTCAGATCTCGTGGGTAAAGTAGCTGTGACGGCCCGGCAAACCCCGGCCCATGGCATGTGCGTCCGAGTTCCCGGAGGACACTGGCTGGCGGGGGAGGGTAGGGGTCAGGGCGGGGGAGCCACGCTCGGCGGGGCTCTGTGGGCGCCACGGAGCTCCCACAGGACTGGGCACAGCGGCGCCTGCCGCCCAGGTGGCCCCGGCGTCACCGTGGGTCGCCCTCCCTCCCCCAGCCCCGTCTGCTTCCTTCCCTCCTTCCATCCTCATTTCCAACTTCCAACAGCAGCTTCACTTCTAAAGAGCCTGCCCTTCACGCACCCAGTGAAGACTCGCCGATGACCAAAGGCGCGGAGGACAGCCCGCCCGCCTCCCCAAGGCAGAGGTCCAGGGCGCTGAGCCTGGCCGGTGCCCACACCTCCTGCCAGTTCCTCCCACGAGTCCGGCCACTCCATCGGGAGGGCCCCGCGTGGCCCCTGTGGTCTGAGTACCGCGGCCCCCGCACACCCAGTCTCCCAGGGGCCCACCCTGGTCTCTGTCCCCCTCAGGTCTTCAGTGCTGCATGTGGCCCCTGGCCGCACTTGGCCACACCTGCCTGCACCTGCCCACTTCTGTCTGCACCTGCCCACACCTGGTCACACCTGCCCACATCTGTCCACACCTGTTGACATTTGCCCACACCTGCCCACACCTGCTCACTTCTGTCCACACCTGCCCTCACCTGACCACCTGCTCACACCTGCCCACATCTGCCCACACCTGCCCACACCTGCCCACACCTGCTCACTTCTGTCCACACCTGCCCTCACCCGACCACCTGCTCACACCTGCCCACATCTGCCCACAGCTGTCCATACCTGCCCACACTTGGTCACCAGGCCACACCTGCTCTACCAGGTGCCCTGATTCCAACTCCTGTGTGCTGCCTTCTCCCCCCATTCCTCTGTCTCAGGTGGTGGCAGCTCCCGTGGCCACAGGTCCCCTCCCAGCCTGCTCTGCCTGGTCTCTGCGGCTCGCGCCGTCTGCCTCTGAGACCCCACGGCCTGATGCCAACCTCAGCTCCCCAGGGCGCGACTGTTCGCCGGGGGAACCTGCTCCTGAGGGCGCTGACGTCATGTCACTCCAGGGAGGGTCAGCATCCCTCCCGGCGGCGAGGATGAAACAGACCAGACGCGACAACGACGCTTTTACGCTGCGTTCAGGCCTGGCTGGCCGAGGTTGGGTGTAATGATCAAAACAGCGACGGAAAGTCGGCGCATTAGAGGGTTTGCCGGATTCACCTCCCGGTTCCACCCTTGAACGCGGGACTGAGGACGGACACCCAAGACTGGGCGGGTGAGGGGGCCTGGCACAAACGCACCCTGAAGCGCTTCAGAGAACCTGCGATTTGGTTTAAGCGCCGGGTGTCAGACATACGGGAGTTCTTTTAGCGCTTGGGGGGGGATTTCTGGTATGATATCAGGCATTCGGAGTGAGTAAAAGAAAAGAAAACGCTACATTTGTAAGTGCCGTCTTCGAAAGGTTCACGGGAATTTAATCTACTAAAGGCACCAATGGCGCTAACTGTTCGCTGGCGTTAACCTGCCCAGCCCGAGGGAGTCACCGAGCGAAGGCAGAGGGGAGGCCACCGTTCTCGTTTAGTGGATTCATAACCGTGACACGATCTTTAATCTAAAGGCTTACGGGAAATAGGTATTGAAAGACATAACTTCAATAAGCTGTACAGAAATTGTGAAAAACTAGCCTTAAATAACCTTTTCTGCGGCTAGAAGCACCACAGGCAAAACACCGAAGAAAACAAAAATGAAACCGTCCAGACGCCAACGATAAGGAGCAAAGGGGCAAAACGCCCCCCGCGCCCGGCCCTCACGGGACACGGCTCTGGGAGAGGCCGTGACGGGCGCTGGGCTCTCGGTGCTGCAGGACCAGCTCCCCAAAGTTCCCGACCCGTCACCAGCAGCAGACACTTCGTATAGCGCAGAAAATCGAAGACGCCGCTGGCACGCATGGGCCTGAGGGGTCCCTCGCGCCGCACAGGCCCAAGTGCCAACCCGCTGCTCTTCCACCCGCTCCTGGCGCCACCCAGACCGAGAGCCCCCGCGCGGCCACACTCACCCGCATGCCCAGCTCGATGTTCTCGCCGCCGTACACCTCCATGCCTGGGTCCAGCAGGCCGATGTCCCCGAAATACTCCCGGTCCACCACGAACGAGCAGCCGATCATGGCAGGGGTCCTGGGGCAGAGACAGCGGCATGAGAACGCCGCCGGCGCACGAGCCAGGGCCCAGCCAGAGCAGGAGCGCCGCGGAGGCCCCGCCGCCTTCTCTTCCCCGCTCGCGCCTCCACCCTGACTTCTCATCGCCACTCGAGTCGCTGCGCCCAGGGCTGGGGACAGCTGCTTCTCCAGCTGCAGGGCCTCGTCTTGGAACCCCTCAGGGCCCGGTAAAGCACTCAGCACAGACCCGAGTCCAAACGCTCACTGCACATCAACCGATGACAACAACCAGCATCAATTCAGGCACTTAGTGTAAGGAAATTAAAAGAAAATCAATTTATCCAACTGTCTGTGTGGTTCCTGGAACATCATTTCCCAGGCTTGAGTGACTTGCCTACCTCCTGCGTTGTCTTGTCCTATCTGTGTATCAGCAGTCAGGGCTGCAACAGGCAGTTGTGTAGGTTGTGCACTGCTCAACTCTACAGAAGCTCACTGATACCAGACTCTCTGAATGACACACCTTGGAGCTGCGGAGAGCACAACCTGTGCAGTTATGTGCAACAGACCGCCCACCGTACTAGCATTTCTGTCGTAATTTCAAAATGTCGGCAGATTTAGCCTTGCTCCCTATCTGTGAAATCAAGAGTTGATGTGCTTGTTAGATTTTTTCCAATATGCATTAAACGTTTATCAGTGTTGTGTGTCCCCCGGGACGTGGTCGCACGGCACAGCGATGGTGAAAGCAGAGCACGGCGAGACGGCAGAGGGAAGTGGGTGGTGGCGCAGTGAGCCATGTTGCGCACTCACTGCCTCCGGGGTTTATACTGGGCGTCTGCTAGGTGCTGGGATGTGAAAGAGAAAAAAGAAAGGAAAAACGTGTCTCTAAGCGAGACATAGGCAGAGTCTACGTTTGGTAACAAAGCAGGAACTTCTAAGCTTTTAAGGAAAGATTTTGTCTCAGACAAGGACTATTCCCTTGTTCCTCGAGGGCTTGGTTTCTTCCAAGGCCTTAGGGCTCTAAGAGGAGCCGGCGAAGCCTCGAGTTGCTCCCAAATGCCGAGGCAGGCAGGCCCGAGGCCGCCATAGGTATTAACTCTCTCTCTTCAGTAAAAACAGCAGCAAAAAACTGGTCTCAGTCATAATGTAAAAGAAGCAATTCTGCCCCAATGACTGCGAAGTCAGAAGTAAACACCCATCAGTTGCCCAAGAACAACAGGGACGTTAAAAGGTGATTATCTTTTTATTTGTGCAAAGATCCCATTTGTTCTGTCATTAGATTTGGCCACTAACCTAACAGCAATGAAATTTTAACACCGACTTTGATTTCTAATGGCAACGTTTGATTGGTTACGTTATAGTTCATCAACACACAACAGGTATTTCTCTCATTTTCTTAACAACAATAATCATCTCAGGCTGATCTCTGATGAATCGAAGTGCCAAACTCCCCACCGAGCCTATTATGGCTGGTAATGATTTTTTTATTACTGCTCAGGGTTCCCAAATAAACGCAAACTCGCAGGGCGATGGTAGCAGAATCAGCTGACGCTGAATTTATTTGCATGAGAAATTCTCGCCGTGATTACAGAAAGCAGCGCGGGCTGAGTGATGCCACATTCCGGGGGGGCCCCGGTCATTCCAGGGACGACCCTCATCTCTGGGCTGCTCTGCTGCGTGGGGTTGACGGGTGCGCGGCCAAGACCCCCAGGGTCCTGCCTGGAAGGGCTGCTCATCCCGGCCCCGCTCGCCCTCTGTCTCATCTCCCGGGACCTTTAGTCCAGCCTTCACTTGTTCCAGCACTAAGAGTGGACCCAGCCCACCGCCATCGGGACGAGAGAATTAACCAGTGTGGTCCGTCCGCATGGTGGAGTATGACTCACGCCGTTCTGCGGGCAAACCCTGGAACTCGGGCGCGCACGCATGCCACGGCGAGGATTTGCCGGCCGTCACAGCTAATTTACCCACGAGATCTGACTCAGTCACCCGGGCTGAGACGATGCCCAGGGAGGGAGGCTGACACTCACTCGTATTTGAAAGGCCTGTCTGACCTGGAACTCCGCCCGGGGGCCACCAGCCTGTCCCGAGGAGCCGGCTGCCAGGGCCGCCGGGGGCTGCAGGGTGGACGCTGGACCTGGCCGACTGGCCTGGCTCTGGCTGCCGCGGGGCGGAGGCAGGGCAGGGTCTCCCCAGCCCCGGTCTGCTCTGACGCCCCCCCTCCACCAGACGGCACTGTAGGGGACATTTCCTAAAGTAAATTTCAAATGTCATCCTCTCTGGTGCCACATCACTTTCCAGCCCGGATTCAGATGCACGGGCTGTGTCCTTCCAGAGAAGGGCCACGTGCCCACGGCCTGCAGGTGGACCTGGGGCACGCAGAGTGCAGTGTCTAGACGGCCGTGCACCGCCCGGTGCACTGGCCCTGGGGAGCATTTTGTCCTCCGAACCCTATGAGACGGGAGCCTGGCTCCTGTGATTGCGCTGAAGGATCCACCATCAAGGGGGACGTGGCTGCGGAAGACCCTTCCCGGCCCGCGGTGGGGTCCCCTCAGGTGAGCCTGAGCTGTTCCTCCTGATAAGGCCATGACTGACTCCTGGAGACAGTGCTCCCTCTCCACCCCGCTGGGGCTCAGTCCGGGGGCTCAGCCCTTCTCGCATCTTCCAGAATGGACCCCCAGGTCCATCCCGACACACCCGACACACCGCTCCTCAGCTCCCTTCCCGGCCCCCTGCTGTGCCTAACGGGCCTGCCCCACCTGATCCACTCTTCTCTCTTCCATGTCCCTACACGTGACTGGTTGGTGAGGCCACCAGCTACAAACCATCATCCTCCAATATTCTATCCCAATTACGTATTCCCGAACTGTAGGGGTCACCCCAGGGAACAGCCAGACTTACAGTGGTGGGGACCTGAGCCAAACCCTATCGAGCGCCTGACACCAGAAGCCCCTACTCTGCCTGGCAGCCCACAGAGAGACTCAGGCCTCCAGAAAACAGTGTCGCTTCAGGGCCAGTGTCCACAATCTATGAAGGGTTGATTTCCCTTTACCGATATGAAGACAATCTGATAAATGACCACTGGCCCCTCAGGGAAGACTAGAGGGGGACAAACAGGACAAATTCTGGATGCAAAAGGTCATTACTCAATGGGAATCAGCCTCTAGTTCATTCAAGGGGCTGAGAACAGACGGTCCACTGCCAGGCGAGATGAGTGACTGGGCAATCGCCTGTGACTTGTGACCCTCCAATGAGGGAAGCGATGCCTGATGGGAACCTCACCTATTACT